CCAAACATGAGTTTACACAAGCTTTTGCTTTTCCATATGATGATGTCAGCAGTTACAGGTCAGCATCACCTGAAACAGTTGCATCAGATATAGAATTTGCTCCATTGGTGTCGCAGCTGTTTGAAGTCGATGAGAGACCAGAATCTCCACATTCAGGCTTGTCTTTTTCTGAATACCAGCATTTGTCACCAGACTCTCCAATACCTCATTTTACTAATACTCTTACATTTACAGCAAATTATCGATCTTTATCACCTGAGTCACTATATTCTAATGAGGATTTGGACACTGATTCGCATGTTCCCTGGCTTTTCGAGTATAGAGCAGTATCTCCTGGGTCAACTACTTCCATAGATGAGTTTAAACCTCTTTCTCCAGACTCACCCATTCCTGAATTTACACAGTCTTTGCAAGAATCCTTCATAACACACGTGGACTCAAGGTCTTCTTCACCTGATTCAGTGTTATCAGATTCAGAAATGCAATTATCATTCCCATTGGTTATAGAAGACCGACCTTCATCTCCTGAGTCCTTCGCGTCTTTAAGTAAATACAGAAGACTTTCTCCCGATTCACCTGTACCTGACTTTGGACAGGTTTCACTAGAGACTTATCTTGGCTTTAAAAGTAGAAGGTCATCGTCACCTGAATCAGAGGCTTCAGAAAAAGAATATGATTCTGTGAATTCACAGTTATTTGATTTTGATGACAGAGCAGAATCAGAGGTATTTGACTCTGACCCAAGATGTTTGTCTCTTGACTCTCCGATACCACAGTTCACAGTGAGCGCACCTATTTTAGGAAGAGTACGATACAGATCCACATCACCTGAATCTGTGGATTCAGATTGGGATTTAGAGAGAGATTTATGTATCCCCTGTCTTTTTGAGGATAGAGCAGTATCTCCTGGTTCAACTGCATCAATAGATGAGTTTAAACCTCTTTCTCCAGACTCTCCAATACCTCAGTTCACACAGGCCCTACGTGAATCCACTGTTTGTCACATAGAGTCAAGGTCTCCTTCACCAGACTCAGTGTTGTCAGATTTGGAAATGGAGTTACCGCTTTCAATATTCTCAGAGAGCAGACCTTTGTCTCCTGAATCGCAAGCGTCAATCAGACTTTCTCCTGATTCACCTGTACCTGACTTTGGACAGGTTTCGTCAGAGACTTATCTTGGGTTTAAACCACAATACAGATCCACATCACCTGAATCACTGGATTCAGATTGGGATTTAGAGAGAGATTTATGTATCCCCTGGCTTTTTGAGGATAGAGCAGTATCTCCTGGGTCAACTACTTCCATAGATGAGTTTAAACGTCTTTCTCCAGACTCACCCATTCCTGAATTTACACAGTCTTTGCAGGAGTCCTTCATAATACACATGAACTCAAGGTCTTCTTCGCCTGAATCACTGTTGTCAGATTCAGAAATGCAATTATCATTCCCATTGGTTATAGAAGACCGACCTTCATCTCCTGAGTCCTTCGTGTCTTTAAGTAAATACAGAAGACTTTCTCCTGATTCACCTGTACCTGACTTTGGACAGGTTTCACTAGATACTTATCATGGATTTAAAGATAGAAGATCATTGTCACCTGAATCAGAGGCTTCAGAAAAAGAATATGATTCTGTGAATTCACAGTTATTTGATTTTGATGACAGAGCAGAATCAGAGGTGTTTGACTCTGATCTAAGATGTTTGTCTTTTGACTCTCCAATACCACAGTTCACAGTGAGCGCACCTACTTTAGCAAGAGTACGATACAGATCCACATCACCTGAATCAGTGGATTCAGATTGGGATTTAGAGAGAGATTTATGTATCCCCTTGATTTTTGAGGATAGAGCAGTATCTCCTGGTTCAAGTGCATCAATAGATGAGTTTAAACCTCTTTCTCCAGACTCACCAATACCTCAGTTTACACAGGCCCTACGTGAATCCACTGTTTGTCACATAGAGTCAAGGTCTCCTTCACCAGACTCAGTGTTGTCAGATTTGGAAATGGACTTACCGCTTTCAATATTCTCAGAGAGCAGACCTTTGTCTCCTGAATCTCAAGCTTCAATCAGACTTTCACCTGATTCACCTGTACCTGACTTCATGCCACCAATGTTTGAATTACCTGATACTATTTTTGGACATAGGTCAACATCCCCAGAGTCAGCATGTTCAGATATAGAATACATTGTTGTAAGCCTAGGATCACAAGTTTATGACAATAGAGCCTCTTCACCTGACTCAAGAGCATCTGTAGATGAATACCAGGCTCTGTCACCAGACTCGCCCATACCTGAATACAGACCAGCAATGCCTGAACGAGTTGTTGTGAATGTTGGGTATAGATCATCTTCCCCTGAATCCATTGAATCAGACATTGAGTATGCATTGAGTGACTCTTTGATGTCCATGAATTATGGTTTTGAGACTAGACATGATTCTCCTCAATCAGGAAGCTTAGAATTGAGGCCTCCATCACTTGAATCCATAGACTATGAACCCATGTCTCCTGACTCACCCCTTCCTTCATTTGCAGAAGATGTTCTTGAAACCACAGAAACATACAGTGAGCGTTTGTCCCCAAAATCAATGTTGTCAGATACTGAATTTGATCTGGCATATTCAGCTTCATCTGCCACAGACGTCACTGACATGAAAACACTATCACCTCAGTCTGAGAGATCAGATGAAGAATGTAGAAACCGGTCCACTTACTCACCAAATCCTGAATTTGCAAAGACTGCTGTAAAAAATGTCATAACTGTAAGAGACATATCACCCACTGAATTTTCAGATTCAGATCATTTATCACAAACTTTAGACCTGTTGAAAACAGATGACAGGACTCCATCACCAGAATCTGTTGAATCGGATAAAGAGGAATTACGATTGGCATCCAAACCATCAGTAGCTCAATTAACAGACCCAACTGCTGCCGAAGCATCCATTGATAACAATGCGTTATCAACAACAATAGTTCCTACCTCATTAGAGAAATCAGCCATTGTGGTAGCTGAGTATAATCTCATTCATGATGCTGAGTTATGGAAGCTGATTTCTCAAGTGCGTGATCCTCAGTATGCTGGAGAAACCTTCAGCGGTAAAACAGGGTTTATGCAATTTATTGGCAGCACAATAGAATATGGAAGTAGTGTTTCAGATGATGACCAAGATAAAATAACGGATGAAAATGATCAAACTGTTAATTCCAAAGGACCACATTCAGAAGAGACAGAGCCATTTACAACAGATGCCACCAGAGCAGATGATGGCTTTCCTTGCACTTTAAGTGCACAAGTCATGTCTGACATACCTGTTTCAGAATCAACTCCACCAATCATTGAGAATATGTTGTCTTCACAAGCAGCTCCATACAGACAGTCCAAATACGCATTTGAAGTACCTCCTGTTGAGGCAACCACAGATTCTAATGATGAGTGTGTGGTTGTATCAGAGTCTGACACAGAGGGTGACGATCTATGTTATTCACCAGAATCCTTGATAGACTACAGACCCATGTCCCCTAAATCAGCCATGTTATTAGAACCAAGAGCATCTTCCCCCGAATCTGAAACATCAGTTAATGAGAATAGACCTCTCTCACCAGATTCCCCCTTACCTGAATTTACAATAGAGTTACCAGAGTGTGTTACATTCCTGAGATCAGCCTCATCCTCACCTGAAACTGTGGCATCAGATATAGATGATATGCCTCTGTATTCAGAAACTCAGTGTAGAGAATCCATACCAATGTCACTTGAATCCGCCCCAGAAATGGCTGACCAAAGAGCATCATCCCCAGAATCCATGCCCGAGTTCAGCGAGAACAGGCGTCTCTCTCCAGACTCCCCCATCCCTCAGTTTACAGCATCATGGGAGGAGAGCATCACAACACATAGATCATCATCACCTGAATCTGTGTGTTCAGAGTCACATTGTGAGCTTATGGTCACATCCTCAAGAGCTGATGAGACTGAGAGAACATCCTCACCTGACTCTATTTCATCTGTCAATGAGTTCAAACGGCTATTACCCGACTCACCAGTACCTGAGTTTATGAGGATATTGTCCTCATATTTTATGGATGCTACCTACTTTGAAAGATCATATTCACCGGTGTCTTTTTCATCAGACTTAGAGTTTGAATCTTTGCCAACTGATTGTTGGATTGATGATAGCCCAAGGCCACTGAGTCCACATGCTGCCGGATCAGAGGAGGAATTGGATCTCTGTTGTGAGGATACTGAACCAAAACTTTTGAGTTGTGTGACATCGTCTTTATTACCTGAGCAGTATTCATCCATACCTACGAATCAGATGGCTGTGTCACCATTAGTACTTCAAATCAGTGAGACAATGTCAGAGGAAGGACCTGCCAATCCTGACGGGCAAATATGGACAGAATCAGACACAGGAATTCTGTCACAAGATGAGAGGAAACCGCTCGGATCAGAGGATGCAAGTATCTCAACTTTAGAAAATACTGTTGATGTGAGAAAAGACTTTGCTGTGAAGTCCTCACCAGCTGAAGACGTTCAAAGAAAGGAGGAGAAGATGCTTTTCCTCCATTCTGTGGAAGTACAGAGCAAGACAGCCGATCAGAGGGTAAGAGTGAGAGCATGACCATCCAGCAAATTGGACTGAATTCATTAACATGCTAGTTGGATGAAGCGATAACACTGTGTGAAACATCAGGACATGTCTTAATGAAGTGATAACAAAATGGATTGTGTAAATGTAGAGACTTTGTCCACAATGTGCCGAAGTGAGCCGAATGTTAAATATAGAATTATAATACCACTAATCATTCCTCCTCTTCTTACGTCTGCCTGATGGTGACATCATTTTAAAGTTGCATGTTTTGGCCGTTTTGGAAAATAATCCCTGTGTGCAGTGAGAGTAACTCGGTGAAATGTTGATGTCATCTCTTTGGTGTGAACCAACCTTTACACTGATTTAAGTGGACTTATTTACACCAATGTTGACATTCACTTACAGGCTCCTCCTCAGACACCAGAAGAAACAAAGTCTCTAACAGACGATGAGGTGCAAAGCACAACAGCAGCACAAGACCCCAGTGACATGGGCGTGCTGTTCACTAAGGAGAAACCAATGAAATCAATTCCCCTACAGCTACCTGAACAGAGCTCGATCACAACCCACAGGACTGTCACTCCAGTTCTACCTTCATTTGAGAAGAGTTTCTGTGTGAAGTCAGACAGATTGCATGCGTGCTCAGAGTGGGAGTTGTCCACAAAGGAGGCACAGTCCAGTGAGCTTTTTTCACCCATGTCGAGCCAGTTTCTGGTGCCACCAGATTATGAAGCAGTGTTCTCAGGACATCAAACCTTGAGAGTTTCAGAGTGTAGCCCAGCGTCTCCAGTGTTCAGCGACTCAGCTCAGGTTGTGACTGAAGTCATCACCGAGAGAGATTCGGAAACTGCTGAGGACTTGGAGTTTTCCCCAGGCTTTAACCAAGTCCTCTCAGAATTTGAGAAAACAGTATCAGAAATGGAATCAGAAGAACCAAAGGTGCCACCAAAAGACCTCATACCTCCTCAGTTCTCTAAGTCTCCGCAGCACTCTGACTCTGATGCGGAATTCTTTGACTGCAGACAAGCCTTCTCTGACTTCTCTGAATCAGAAGATATCAAACCGGAACATGAGATAGGCTATCATATCTCAGAGCCATCCTCCCCAATGCCTGGGAGTAGCCCTGGTATTGGTTCCCTGAAAGGGAGCCCTCAACACACTTCTCACCCTTTTCTCCGAGTGGAAGATTACAAGCGCTTCTCCTCAGGCAGTGAAAGCCTTGGGGAGTTTGCCTATGATTCTGAGGGCGACGAACCCAAATGTGAGGAACTTCCTTCAAGAGATCAGGCAGGGTATTACGATGATGACGACTTCCTGGGAAGGGTAAGAGGTTGAGCATGAGCGTGGCACTGCACTGGCTGGTGTCTTGCCTGGTTCGGATTGGTTGCTGTGGTGCTGCATTCAAGACTCAGGAGATTGAACACACAAATCTGCACTTTATGAACTAGATTAGGCTGACGAGTGCTTTTGTGTGCATGAGTACCTAAACCTCCGAGAAAATAAAAAGCCTAACTGTGATGAGTTTTGCATTAGTGGTGACTGAAAGAACTGACCCTGGTGAACTACTGATGGCATATATGCGCTGTTTCATAGAACAGATTCAATAACATGATTATTATTTCACATCTCACCCTGTCTGCATCCTTTGAGTTGGGCTTGTTCTTCCCATCAGTGTGCGAAATACCCTGACAGTCTGGGGGTCCTGTGCAGATCAGGTCTACTCAAGCCACACGTCATGGAAGAAATCCAATTCCAAGTGTGTGAATTTAAATGAATGTTGCAGATATTGTGACTCAATGGATAATGAAAAAAATTACATGCTCATGCACAGCGGCAAAGACAAAAACCTGAATGCTTATCCTCTTGACAGATGTTTTTTCTAATACTACACAGAAAATGAATACATCCGTGTATTATACAGGAATACATATAACAGTGTGTATTGTGATAAACCTTAAGTATGATTTGTATTTGCATTTTAAATCTTCTGTGCCAGATCCCTCATATTTCGTGCACTGGTGGTTCACATTTTTGCATGTGTATTTGAGTTGTTGCATAACTGTTCCTTCTCTTCATCTCACATAATTTGTGTACAGCCAAACAATTCAATTTTTTTCTCTCATTTCATCTCATTTGTACAAGAACCTTTCGGGCAAGTGAATATAAAAGTGAGGTTAAGAGAAAGGAAGGAAGAGCCAGACGAGTGTGCTGTGGTAACTCGGTGTAGACCTGTTATATTGACCTGTGCCGGCTGTGTGCTGTCTCCCAGGAGATAGCAGATGAACTAGGGATGCTGTCTGATAGCTCAGAGGAGGAGGTGCTGACCACCAGGGTGGTCCGACGCAGAGTTATCATTCAGGTAAACGAGCATGATGCAGCTGCAGCCCCAGTGCACTGTGGAGTGATGTAGGGTTAGTGGGTAAATGAGCTTTAGCGTGCATTTGTTTTATGGACTTCCAGGGTAATCATACACTACGGAACATACTTACAGTATTTGCCTGACGTAGAATACGTTTTCTTGCATTGCAGAAATTAGACGTTTTGTCTGAAGTACTCCTGTTGTTTTGTTTGTGTCTTTCCTGCTCCCTTTGGTTTTTTTAAATGCTTCTTTGTGTTATCATAGAAATGTTTGAGGTGTAACACAGAAACTTTTAAGCCCCAATGTGAAGAATTATTTGACCTGATAAGAATGATAAGAATGTGCTGTCATCATATCTTCACACAGGGGCTTCAAAATCGACTTTGGTCATTATTTACTTATGTTGGGTGGCGTATGTTGCTTGATACACTTACTTTGACGTGGACATGTACTTCGAACGTACCCTTAAGTACAGGACTGTGATATGTGGACTCACAGCATGTGTTCTGTGTTTTTACAGGCTGATGACCTGCCAGATATCCCAGCACAGACTGTCACTGAGGAGAAATACACAGACGAGCATGGGAACATGGTAGTTAAGAAGGTAAGCGAAACACAGACAGATGTCCACACTTTATTTTCAGATTGCAGTTTTTTTTTTTACAGGGATGTTTTTCTCTGCGTCCTCACCAGATCACACGGAAGGTGGTTCGTAAATACGTATCTGCGGATGGGATGGAGACACAGGAAGTGACCATCGAGGGCTCTCGCCAGGAGACGGTGCAGATCGAGGAGGGAGACACTGTCTCCAGAGTGGTAAAGAGAACTGTGCTTCACAGTGAGGGAGATCAGAAAGAGGTCAGTGTCATATGACTTTCACTTGGATACATAGACATCAGAAGCACTATACTTATGACTTTATTACTCAGTTTGTTTTATTGTTTTTGTGCTGTTTCTGATTTTAATTTTCAGAATTTTTTTGGGGAAATGATGTAATATTATCAATGAATCAATAAAATCAATCAAACATTATTTGTATAGCCCTTTTTCACAAATAATCAGACACAATAATAATAAGTTTGCATGTCATGAACCATGTTGGAGTGAATTTGTTGGTGTAAGAAAGTCAACAAGGCCCAGATTCATCCTAAGGAGAATGTCAAATGTCAGTACATACGGAAGCTGTCCAAACCTGTGTTTGTCCACCTCCTCGTGTCCTCGCCAGGGTTTGGCCAATTTGTGGAGGCAGACAGCCGACAACTTAAAAACCTCCGCAGAGTACATCACTCGCAGGAAATAACAGCCGGTGCCTTGACATTTTCTCATCTCCCTCCAGCTGACATTGTCCGAGCCCCTGGCCTCGGGCGCTGCCACAGCATCAGAGTTTGAGATGGAGCCAGTGCAGGGTCGAAAGGTCAGCAAGGTTGTCAAGACAACGATGGTGAAAGGAAAGAGGATGGAGAAGCAGACGGGGGACCCCTCACTGGCGGCAGATCTCCCCTCAGCCAGGGAGGACTTTGAGAAGGTCAGTGTGTCCAACAGAAGAGAAAATCCACCCAGCTCATATTACACATTGAACAGGTTGTGAGAAAATGTTATTATCAGTCACCATCTTGTTGGGTTCCCAGTGTTTGTCTGTCCTCCGTCCTCCATCTGATCCCTCTCTCCCCCTTCATTCTGTCCCCTCCAGGCTTTGAGTTATGCCGGGGGCTTTGGGAAACAGCTCCTGCCTCATGTAGTAGAGAAAGAGTTTGTGCAGGACGACGGTTCTGTGGTTAGAAGGTCGGCCTGCCGCATGGGAATGTGTAGATGTGACACTGATGTTTATTAAGAGGGAATTTACCACAGTTTAACATGGAAGCATGGTGTGATTTCTATTCGCTAACATTTAACTCTCACTTCTGATTTGAACCTTGCAGGATATTTTGTAGTTGCACTGGTTGAATTGTCAGAAAGTGGCTTTAAAAGTTTCAGATTACTAACAGCCTCCCTCACACATGAATTAGCTGCATCAGATATTGTAGCTCTACTCATGGTAATGTGTTGCATGGTGTGTGTTAGAGGCTGTTCTCTCTGCTCATGGATTTTTAGTTTATAGTTTGATTATGAAACAAACTCTAAACCAAAAGGTATACATTGAATATAAACTGCAATAAACGATAGGCTTAAAATCTTATATTAGGTTTTGAGTTCGAAGTTTACAAATGTATAAATATAATGATTATTGATTAATTACAATACAATAACATATTCAAAATGATTAACAACTATCCAAAAGGAGCAAAATTAACTGACATTTATTCTGTTTCCATATTAAAATAGTATTGTTTTTAACTCCATATTTGTGACCACAAAAGATAGAAATGTGTTTTTCTGTTTTCATCTTGAGCTGGAAAATCTAATGAAGCACAAAACCAGACAGAAAAGAAAAGTTATTCTTTATTTAGTTTTATGTCAGTCCGACAGCAATTATGCATTTTCAAACTGTATATTCTATTTGTCATTTGATTCCATCACACATCATCTGCACACAGATAGAATTTACAGAATTTAAATTTCATATTTAATACCGTCGGGCCTGGATCTCCACAGTCAGATTGAAATGCAGATATTCGTGGCCCAGGTAAGTCTTGAATGACCCCACTCCCTGAACAGTCACTGTGAGCTTGGATGAGCCGTCAGCTTTTTTCTGTTTTCTTCTTGCAGAAGCCACATGCGTAAATCAAGAACCCAGAAGAGGACTGTGGTGAGGGATGCCCGGGGGAAGCATGTGCACCTGGAGCGGCTGGATGACACCCCAGACGCCCTGCAGCCCAACTCCCTGCAGCAGCACCTGCACCAACTGCTCCGACACTACTGTGAGGACAACAGGGAGGAGGAGGAGGAGGAAGAGGAGGAGAGCTTAGACTGAGCAGCTGCTTCCACTGATCCTCTCCCTGCGCCTCCCACTGAAGCCTTTGGTGATGATCAAGCTGTTACACATCCCCTTCCTGTTTCTCTTCTTTTTGTCAAATAATGGAACAGTATTTTGTGCTTTCACGCTCTTCCCTCCCTCACATTGTGTTTCGCTCTTTTTGTAACCAAAGATAGCCCCCTTTTTTCGTTGGATTCTTCTTTTCTGTTTCCCGTCTTTTTACCTCTCGGCTGCTGTGGCGTGGCCAAAGCACGACGCACCAAAGGTGGGGCTTCTCGGACGTTCCGCCTCACGCACGGGCCTCTTCTTGAAGAACTCTTGTAAAACATTTGTATATAGAGAAGAAAAGATCGTGCTTGGACTGGAAAGAAAACAAACCTAAGCATTTAATACGTTAGCCCACCTAAACCTGCTGTACATGCACCGATGCAGCTGGAGAACGGCCCCTGTACAGATGAGATTAATGTTACACGGAGAATGAACTGGGAGGAGTGAAAGTGAATCATCATGGACTCTTAATACAGCCAAACATCAACCTGCTGATGTGTTTACAATGGCTGTGTGAGCACACCTTTTGTCTTCCCATGATGCATCTCCCCCCCCCCTTGTTTTTTTTTTCCACGTGTCCGTCCCAACGTGTGTCGTGCGTTCACATTTTATCTTCCACAGAGCTGCCACCTCTGTGTGTGTATATACAGTGTGTCTATCGAGAGAGAGAGAGAGAGAGTAGTGATGAGGAGTGCTCCGACGCACTCGTCCTCAAACACCTAGTCGCTCCCGTCGTCTGTGTTTCACCCTCCTTCACCACGTGTGCTGCGTCTCCTCAACTCAAACTGCAGCGGTGCTCATGTTATACCGTCCTCCATGAAGCCTTGTCCAGGACGAGTCTGGTGCAGTTTTTTTCTTATTGTCAGCAAATTCCGTGAAGAAGCTCTAAACAACAATGATAACGTGTGTGTGTGTGTGTGTCTGTGTGTGTGTGCGTGCGTGCGTGCGTGCGTGTGTGTGTGTGTGTGTGTGTGTGTGTGTGTGTGTGTGTCAAAACCTGATCGAACATGATATTTAATATTAGTCCTAATCTTCAGATTTGATTTGCTCTCATTCATTTTATTCAAAGGTGCATTTCAGACTGTAAATTCATAGCCGACAGTCAGTGTTACAACCTGCAGGTGGCGTTAACCAGCTGCTCATGAAAGATGGAATCAGGTTGCATTATGGGAAGTGTAGGAACAAGAGCATCTTACAGTCTCTCTGATGAACCGTCACCTTAGAGTCATAGACACACACACACATGTTTTTTGTTTAGAATTTAGTAGTTTTTACTTTATTTATATATTTATATATCTGTTTTTTAAGCAATTATCACATTTAAAATTGTATATAATTTGTATTCAGTCACATCTGATCAGTGTGTTGAGCAGAAGATCTTAGATTTATTGAGACCCCAACAAATGCACTTTTTCTCCTTTTTGTGTAACGTTCATTAAAAACCTAAGTGAGCAGCAGTTTTAGGAAACGACTGCAAAAAGAAATGATGTGTGTGTGTGTGGGTTGTTTTTTAAACTGGGAGCTGAGAGTCACAGTCAGAGTGGGGGGGCGGGGGGTGGTCAGACGGACTGGACCATTGTTGCTTTTGGTTTTGTAAAGAGATTTGTTGACGCTAATAAAACATAGACTGACACCAGACATGTCCTTTTAGAATGAAGTCATCGCACTTAACATAGAAATGCTTTGCATTAACTGCTGACGTTGATTTGACTTTTCTCGTCATCACCGCTCTCGAAGGAACCGACGGATCATCCCCAAATCCCCGAAAACACAGACTTCCTTCCGTCAGTCATCATGTCTGTACTTCCTTATTTATTTATTACCGTCCATTTATGATCCCTGTACAGTAAACTCCAGCAGCTGAAGCTGAGAGTGGTGTGTGTGTGTGTGTGTGTTTGAATGTATTCTAAAGCTAACGGTAAAGACAAATGCAGATTTTTTTCCCCCCATCATTGAAACAGATTTGTTGCTTTGAGACTGATAAAGTATGTTTGGTGTTGATCTACAGTTGAGAATTGAGCTGTGTAAAGATACGATCCTCATGTTGCCATGTAATTTGAGTGTGATCCATTGGAAGAATAAAAGAACAATGTCAAAAAGAGACCACTGATTTGATAAATGAGCATCTCCCTTCCATTGTGATAACAATATATACGTAATAACAGTGCAAATATCTACGCAGGCATGTATGACAAATTATTACAAAAAAAAAAATAAACCTGAAACGCTAAACAAGGCCTCGCAGCTGCAGTGTGTACGTGGCAGAACAATAAAACTGTACATGTCAAATGAGAAGTGATGTCATTCTTTCAGGGAGTGAACGCACTGGCTAATTTTGCAAATGATGCAATTCACTGCACTGTCCACATTGAGACGACATCACACCAGGTCTGCAGCAAACAGTGATATACTCAGTATGATTGGTTGATTTTATTATTCTGATTTACTTCACCGTGGCATTTTCTATCATTTACTCCACTATGATACTTTTATACAAAACTGATTTTATACAATAGCGGGATTTTAAAAAGTA